GCTGTTAGCTTTAGCTCATATCAACAACGATAGGTTATGTTCATACTAGCCCTTAGAAATAAGCAGGTGCTAAGCTTAGAAGGACTGAATGTGAAAGATACCTAGGGAAGTATGCGCCAAGGCCATAATCTTCAAACTTTTACAGTCCCTTAGCCTCACAAAACTGAAGAAGCTTGTGTGCCTTATTCTTTTTTTATAGATTTTATTTATTTTTATTTGCTAGAGAGAGAGCGCATGCGAGAGAGAGAGAGAGAGAGCACAAGCAGGGGGAGCAGCAGGCAGAGGGAGAAGCGGGCTCCTTGCTCAGCAAGGAGCCCAATGCGGCACTTGAACCCAGGAACCAGGGATCATGACTGAGCCAAAGGCAGCCACTTAACTGACTGAGCCCACCCGGGCGTCCCTTGTGTGCCTTATTCTTTTTTTTTTTTTTAAGATTTTATTTATTTATTTGATAGAGCAAGAGAGCACAAGCAGGGGGAACAGTAGAGGGAGAGGGAGAAGCAGGCTCCTCGCCAAGCAGGGAACCCGATGCGGGGCTTGGTCATGACCTGAGCCGAAGGCAGACGCTTAACCATCTGAGCCACCCAGACACATCTTAAAATGTCTGTTATTTCACCCCATTAAGATATAGGAGTAAGGCAATAAAAGATGAATTTCCTGATAAACATTTGAATGCCATTACAGGGGCGGCTGGCTGGCTCAGTTGGTAGAGCATGACTCTTGATCTCGGGGTTGTGAGTTCAAGCCCCACACTGGGTGTGGAAATTATTTAAAAATACAGTCTTTTAAAAATAAATAGATAGGGCGCCTGGGTGGCTCAGTTGGTTAAGCGACTGCCTTCGGCTCAGGTCATGATCCTGGAGTCCCAGGATCGAGTCCCACATCGGGCTCCCTGCTCTGCAGGGAGTCTGCTTCTCCCTCTGACCCTCCCCCCTCTCATGCGCTCTCTCTCTCTCATTCTCTGTCTCAAATAAATAAATAAAATCTTTAAAAATAAATAAATAAATAAAAATAAATAGATAAATAAATGCCACTACATGCCCGAAGGAGTAGCAGTAAAACTTGATTTTTAAGACAACTGTCAATTCTCAGATCTGCAGCCACCCTGCCTAGTGGGGACTTGGATACAAAAAAAATCACATGGATGAATTTAAACTTCCTCTCTGAACTGAGAGGGCAGTTATCAGCAAGAGCTGTAGAGTCAATGGTAATTTTGTGAGCCTCCTAGAGCCATAAAAACTTACTGCTGTGTAGGACTAAAGCAAGCATCAGATTTACCAAATAGAAGGTTCCTGAGATTAATACATGTGCCCTACTCAGAGGTCAGCGAAGGCAGCAGTTGTAAGGTTTTGATAACAGCCATAATGGGGCCACCTAGCAGTTGCCAGGAATGACTTAAAATGCCCCTGAATGCTGTAGGGTATTCCGGCTGATTCTGAAAAGTCAGAACAGTAGGAAAAGCCAAGCCTAAGATATAGCTCAGGAGGTTCTGGGCATCTTCATTAAGAGCACTACTGGAGCTATTTCTAAAACGTGAGATGACCCTTTAGTATTTGGGGAGCTAAAGTCTGACAGCATCCAAGATTTTAAAATAAATTGTATTTGAGGTGTCCATTCATTTGGCAAATTTGAGTGACTATTATGTACTGGACACTTGGGGGCGTACTATGTCTAGTAAGGCGTGGTCTCTGATCAGAAGGTGTTCACCTTCTAGTAAAGTCAAAGATTTGCAAACACAATTATACTACAAGACAATTCTATATAGTTGGAATGCCCATGAAGTGCAGAAAGTGCATAAACAATCCTAAATCTTCACAAAGAAGCATCTGATCCAAGTCTTGGATAAATGGGAATTTGCCAAGTGGAGAAGCAGAAAAAGGTTCTTCAGAACAGTGAGAACAGCATATGTAAATGTTCTAGACATGAGAGACAATATTTTTTGATAACTATAAAACATGTCAGTATTATCTGCGCAAAAAATAAGAGCAAGGGCATCTGGTGGTGTGGACTGGGGTCTAAAAAATGCTACTTCCTCCATAACTCAAGTAGCATCCTTTACCTTCAGCTACCTGTTAAAGTTGAAAAAACATTTTGATATAAAGGAGTTTGATTGGAAAAGGACCTGAGCTGGTACAGTAGCTAGTTTAATAGTCTTTGTTTCCTTGTCTGCTCCTTATTTTTATACTGTATATAGATCTACTTATATTGACCACACAGCAGTAAAATCACTAGAAAAAGTGAAGTCTCCATATGAAATGCGTACAATTTGCTTTGTGAATTTAACAAGTTCCTTATCCCTTCTTTTGGTGGGGGAAGTGTCTAACTGATCTTGCTCAGCCCAACAATTCATCCTTTGATAATCTCTAATATAGCTTGAATCTAGGAGCCTTACATAACCATGTTATTTGCTCAGTAGAGAGGAAGGAATGGTAGATAGAAATAAAATAATCTAGCCTTTAACTTCTAATACTTCATTCTCTATTCTAAAGTTAACTAAACTCTCCACCCCTATCTGGACCTTTCTATTCACAAAGCTACATCTTTTGTGCAACCCTATTTAAAACAACCATTTATAAATTTATTTCTATTTCACAGCCTGAGATGGGATTCATCCTGCTTTTCACACTAAACTCAACATATTTTAAACTACAAAGACCTTTATCAGGTTGTAAAATATGACCTAACATTTAGCCTTTGGTAAAGAAACTTAAACAGAAGAAAATTCAAGATTGGGGGGTTCTTACTTGTTTTGTATATATATTATCCATATATCTTTAGATGTATATATATCTGTATATTCTCCATTTAGCCTATGTCTTGAGATAAATAATTCTCTGGCAAGCTTTCACAGGGCCACAGAATTGAATTTTTATAGGCAAATAAACATTTTTAAGAATGGGAATGACATCATAGGAAGGAAACTAAACGGAATGTTGGGGACCCACGTTCAAGTTCTAGGTTTGCATGTAACTAACTATCTGTCCTTGGATATGTTGCTTAACCAAGAGCTCTTGTCTTTAGTATTTATTTCTCTAAAAGAGATTTGAAGTAGAAAACCTCCAAGTTCAACAAATATATGGCCTGACTTTGGGACCAATATTGATTTCAAATCTCTTGTGACTTTTAACATTTGTAAATAATAAATATCTCAAATACTAATATTTCAGACTCTCTTCATGCCTGGACATACTACAGAGATTTGGTCTTGGTTTAGAATATAGAGTCCTACCATATCTTTATTCTTTTCCCATACTAGAATTATGTGACTCTAGGATAGATACAGAACAACATTCCATTCCATATCCACTATGCCACCTCCTTCTCAAGTCATTCTTCTTCCAAATTTTCAGCCACTTTACTGTTAAACTTTTCTACCTAAGCTATAATTATCTTCAGAACTATATAATTTATCTTTTTCTAAAGTCAATATAAATTGTTTTTAACTCACAATGGTATTTGTTTAGAACAGCTGGATTGAATACTTACTGTGTATAATATGTGTAATGGAACCTTAATTGCAATACTGATACAGGGAATGGTATAGAATTCAGATAGTGATTTTTGTCAGAGAAAATTTGGAAATTATTTGTAGATCTTAGTTACAATTTTCCAGGGGATTTGCCTTTATTTTCTCTGTGTTCCAGGTCTTGCCTGAAATTTAGAAGCCCCTTTGTTCCCCTTCCTTTCTGGTGCTATCAGTGGTGGTGATCACTGGGAAGAAAAGCCCGCTTCCACTGACCATGGAGAACACTCAGCATCTCTGCTTGATTGTGACAAGGGCAGTTTTTGGATGGATCATGAAATGCTTCTAAAGTAGCCAAGAGTTAACTCTCCTAACTTTTTTATATAATAAGCATGTTACCATCAAGGTAACTTACCCAGTGGAATCAACTACTAGTGGAATCACATTATTTATACATGTAACTTATGCAAATTTAGCTTTACTAAAACACAATAAGAAAGTGCATGAGTGAGAGAGAAAAATAATACTTTAAATAGCGCATGTTTAACCATCCTTTTCAGGCAGTGGATAAAATCAAATCTGAAACAGTCAATTCATGTTGGTGAAAGTTGCCAAAAGAATGTGAGGATGATTTTAAAGGTGATTGATAAAGCATGTTCAGGTGGCCAGGCAAGTGGGTTGGAGAGCTTCTTTGACATTTACAAGGCTTATTGAAGGTTGTTGAGAAGCTATACTTAAGAGTTAGAGGAACTGACAAAATCTTTTATAAAGAATGACATGAGGAGAACAAAATTGAAATTTTTGTAAATTTACTTAAGTATTCAAAGGAGCGAAACATCTGGTTAAATTTCTGAGTGTTCTTTATGGATTTTCAGTGGTTATTTTTTACCATACGCTATTACCTCTTTACAACTTGTCGCCTAAGTATGATGCTACCCCACCCACCAAATGTACCAATTTAGTTTGATAGTGTAAATTGGGTAAGACAATGGGTAATTTCATTAAGAAGCCAGTTCTTGGCTGATAATTCCATTATTTTTAAAATGTGGCATGATCTTCTTTCTCATAGTAGAAGAAGTCTTTGAATTTAAAATCTAGATTCTATAATAAAATGACTGTTTCTTGACCATCCTAGTAATTTGTGCCATCTACACCATTTTGCTTTGTTGCTGCTAGGGTCTTTTTCCACCCATATCTATAGCTTAGACAGTTACTACCTTGGGATTGTTAAAAAATAATAATAATAATAATTGGCTGTGTGCCTGGGTGGCTCAGTTGGTTAAGCGACTGCCTTTGGCTCAGGTCATGATCCTGGAGTTCCGGGATCAAGTCCCACATCGGGCTCCCTGCTTAGCAGGGAGTCTGCTTCTCCCTCTGACTCTCTTCCCTCTCGTGCTCTGTCTCTCATTCTCTCTCTCTCAAATAAATAAATAAAATCTTTAAAAAATAATAATAATTGGCTAAATTATTATTTAAACAGATACTGTTTTATTTGTACCAAATATGTGAAGTACATTTTTCTTTTATGATCATACAGGTGAACATGATTAAAGATGATGGGACAGTTATTCATTTCAACAATCCCAAAGTCCAAGCTTCCCTTTCTGCTAACACCTTTGCAATTACTGGTCATGCAGAAGCCAAACCAATCACAGAAATGCTTCCTGGAATATTAAGTCAGCTTGGTGCTGACAGTTTAACAAGTCTTAGGAAGTTAGCTGAACAGTTCCCTCGGCAAGGTAGGTATTTCAGTTTAGTATCTTTCCTTCTCCACTGTAATCTAAAGAACCTAATGATTTAAAAGGTGTCCCATTTTATGCTGGAAGGATTTATTTGTATGTAAATTTTACTTTTAAAAATGTTGCTCATATGCTTCATAAGTTTTTTAATTTGTTTCTTTAAAAACTGCAATGTAGCATATAGAATATATAGATACATTCTGGTAATAATAGAGTTGAGAGGTAACTACCTAAAAGATTTACCGACCACATTTTACAGACAGTATTCGATACTCACTTCTGAATAATGACAAGAAGAAGATATTGTTGTTAGAGAACTGTATTTTTGTTTAATATTGTTGATTGAACTATAGGCATGGCAACTGTTAAGTTCTGAATTTCCACAATAGCCCTGGTTTCAAATGTGTCTTCTCACCCCCAAAAATCAAAGAGCCTTTTATATCAGTGCCCATACTGCATAGCTGGATACTTTCTTACACCAGAAGAGATGGAAAGTCTTGAATATTTATTTTTGATTTCAAGCATATGGAATTTGTAGAATAAATTAACTATAATGTCTTTTTATTCCAGCTCATCAGAATTATTTCATTTTCCAAATATTACCTTCACTGCCCGTTGAAACTTCCAGCTATATTTAGTGTATACCTAATGAAGTTAAAGTGTTATTGATTTTAGTGTTAAGTAAAAAAATACGGTATTAGATCAGACAATCTTTGGCTTTTTCTGAACAACTATGTAAGATTTAGACAGGAGAAAAGAATGAACATTATAAGTGTTCTGTAAAGGCCTTTGTTCTCAAGAACTAATATTAAAATAAACGTTTTGTAGTGTTGGATAGCAAAGCACCAAAACCAGAAGACATTGATGAAGAGGATGATGATGTTCCAGGTAAGTGACATTTCTTTAGCTCTAAGATTTTTAGCAGCCTGTTTATCTCATTTAATTCATTGTATAATGACTTTTAATTTTTGTTGATGGTGAGTTCATGAATTTAAATTGATTCACAATAATATGGATACAATCTAATGAAAAAGAATGAAAGTCCTCCCATTTAGAACTTAGAAATTATCACACAAAGCTCTGCTGTCTGCATTTGTTAAATTAGAATCACTGTGATTTTAAATTTGCATAGTTATTGTTAAAACATTTCCGTGGGAATTGTGATTGACATATGAAAATGTTGTTCACCTTAGTTTGCACAGACAAAAAAAAGACTAACATTTCCTTAGGATTACTGTTTTAAAAGCAGATAAATGAAGCATTATTAGTGAAATGCCACCAGTTCATTTCTGCTTCTTGTCCTGTAGGTTTTTAGTCAAATTCTAATAGCCACAATTTGGTTTTTATTAGGGTTAGAAGTTAGGAATTTCATTTACCTCTTTTTCTTTTTTTATATCCTTAACTCATTTACTTTTTTTTTTCCAGATCTCGTAGAAAATTTTGATGAGGCATCAAAGAATGAAGCTAACTAAAAATTTTTCTGGAGTTTGGAAGCTGGCATGGACTAGATTTAACAAATCAGCTATGTGGTTCCAAAGTTTTACAGACATGGAGAACATCAACTGTTACTAGTTCAGTAATATAAATATTTTGTATATTAATAATGCTGTTTGTTCAGCATTTTTCGGTCATTTGATTTTGCATTTTGCACTTCCTCCCAGGATCTATTCTTTCGGTCAAAATACGAAGTATTGGTGCAGTTTGAGGGTGTTTTGGTGTTTGATTCTCAGTTTTCTGTTTTGTTTTTTCGTTGGGGTATTTTTGGTGTGTGTATGTGTATGTATGTGTGTGGGTATGTGTGTATACAGTGGAGAGCAAATTGGAAAACAGTTCTATTTATCCTCCTTCTTCCCCCAGTAGAAAATAAAACAAATCTTTACATTTGTTATTTTTAATTTTTTTCTAATGCACAGAATTAATGAGAAGTGAGTATCTTGGATTTCAGATCTGAGGAGATTTTACCCTTGGAAGTTTGGTTTTAATTTGCTTTGTTAACATATTTTTTTATACATTTCTCTGGGTTTAAAATGTCTTGAGATATTTTGCCACCAGCTCCATGTTGGCATAGGGGTAGCATATCTTTGGTGCATTTGCCTTAGATTCACTTACCTAGTCAGACCCAGAAGATTTTCTTCTAGCATTCTTCCTAAATGCCCTTTTCCCTCTCCTTTTGGTCTCCCAGTGTCCTGGTCAGCCTTTGGTAATGCTTTTCCTCATCTTCTACCTAGCCTGAGAAAGATGTTCTCCATATAGAGTTAAGTGAGTGCCTAATCCCTCTTTTGGTAAGACAGATTTCCCTCATCTTGAGGAACAACAGCTCCATCTTCAATTTTTTATTTCCCCCTTGACTCTATAGTTTGGTAGATTTCAAACTGGAATAGCTAGCATGTGTTTGCTAAATAATTTTATGCCAGCCTTATCCTGTATACTAGCTGTTCTTAATAGCAGGTACAAAAATGCCTGTTTTCAGCAAGGTTAAAATTAGGAGTGTCCTTTTGAGTCAGAAAAAGATAGGCCATAGACTCATTCCCCAGCACAAATGGTCATTCTTTGAAATGGTACTGGCTCCAGGAGGATTTCTTCAATCACTCTCCTACTCTTGGTCTTGAACCTACCTCTGGATTGGATCTTACTGTTGTAGCTGCTCACAGCATCCTCCTGCATGCTTAGAGTAATGCTTTTGGGGGAACACTAGTAAAATACAGTATTTATTTTTTTCACCTCCTTTCAGAGGACTTGGAGGTAAGTTGCATTCATTAATTCAAGTTTCCCTCTTGCTGTCTGATGATAAAAGCTTGCATTTTGCTATATCAGCATTTGTTACAGCCAATATTTAAGGATAAGATTTAGAAAATCTATCATTTCCTGGCCCACCAGCAAACTAACTATGGCTTAACCTTGCAGCATATCTACTTTTCTTTCAAGCTAGATATCTTTATTTGATATCTAAAGTGCAAGACCAACAACATATCAAGAGATCTGTAGACAAGAAGGCAAAGCTCTTGTATTTTTTTCATCCAGACACTTCAATTTATTTTATAAATTTGTTCATTTTTCCTGTTCTGTTTTATATAATATATGGACTTAACTACAAAATAAAGTAACAGTAATAAAATAACAAAAGAGGATAATATTTCCTCTTGTGCTTCTCTTATTATTGTCTACAGAATTTCCATCTTTTGTATTTCCTCTCTACTCCCCAACCCCAGATGAATTTCAGCCCAGTCATTATTTGAAATAATGTTTCATCCATTGTTAGGTTAATAGCTCTAAATGATCCACATAGTCCAGAATTCTTTGCCTCTGACTGTCCCTGATGGGCACATTGTGGGACAGAGAGAGTTATGGAGACTTCCAAGTGATTAAGGACATATAGGAGATAGTATAGCAAATGAAAAAAGAGCACTCATCTGGAAATCAGGATACTTGGATCCTGGTCCAGGCTTGGCATTAACTATGTGAGCTGGGAAGGTCACCTAACTACTCTGAAGTTCATCATCAGACAAGTAAGATGTTTCTAAAGCTTAATATTTTTTCTGCTCCTGTAGTTCGGTGAATCTCATTTCTGAAAATTCTCAAGGAACTGATTTTATATATTTCCAGAAATGCCTGTTTTTATCAAGACCCATAAAGCTTTTTTGTATGTATATACTCTTTACTCTTTTTCCTTTTTGATCACATTGTAACTACTCACCCAGAGGAGCTCTGGTCAGTATTTCCTTTTATCCTATGGACAACAACTCTTAATGGCTGGCTTCCTTTGGGTGCAATGAGCCAATACTCTTTTTTGTCTTGTATTTTCATACCTTCCCCTTTCCTGGACAAAGCATACTGAGATCTTGACTCAATCCAAAGAAGTGTTCCTGCCTTCAGAGTGAGCAAGCATGAATAAGAGTATGAATGAAACTTTGTAAATAGTGTTCTTGGCATAAATATTACACAACTTTTTAATATAAGATGTAGTTACTAAATGTATACTTTCTACGAAGATCATGTATTTATTGCCAAGATAACTATAGAATAAGCATTTTCTGGGAAAATTCACCTTAAAATTTGGGAATAATTCAAGAAATGTCTGTACAAAATTGATTCATGGTCTTAGTTTTTGTGATTAGTCCTTTCCATTCATGTGAAGTTCCTCATTTATCTGTCTTGGGGAGGCCCAAAGTAAATAGTTGGGACCCTATACTTGTTTTATCCTACTCTTCCTATTAAGTAATGGTTTAAGAATTGGGGTGCCTGGGTGGCTCTGTCGGTTAAGCGTCCGCCTTTGGCTCAGGTCATGATCCCAGGGGCCTGGGATCGAGTCCCACGTTGGGTTCCTTGCTCAATGGGAGCCTGCTTCTCCCTCTGCCTGCCGCTCCCCCTGCTTGTGCTCTCTCTCTGACAAATAAAATCTTAAAAAAAAAAAAAAAGAATACATCAAGCACTTTGATTTGTTGTTAAGTAATTAGTATTTATGGGATTTTGTTAATTTAATATGCATACCAGGTTCCTGTGAAGACCCATATTGGGCTGTGTTTGATTTGTTTCTTTGTTGTAATTCAGTGTTTAACCTAACTATGCTATATGTCCATAAATGACATCATGATTGGACAGTATGGTATAGTAGGAAATGCACAGGTTTTTAGATAGAGGTCAGTTTCATTACCTACTGTGCTGTAACCTTTCTAACATGGCTCCTGCAGTGCACAACTTCAGGGGCCATCATTCATATTTGTTGTGTTCCAGGGAGCACCATTTTCATAGAATACAGTGTGAATAGTGCCCCTGTAATAGTGCAGTGATGGCCTTGGTCTCTGAACCTGTTTCCTCTTCTGTAAAATGGTGCCTGAAAAATGGTCAAATAGGGTTCCTTAGAACTCCTGAAATGGTTAACGTGAAGAAGAAAGATGATTCAAGTGTGTCATCTCCCAAGCCATGGCAGAAAGGAGTTCATGGTTCTAGGCACAGCAAGGCTCCATTCTACACTGTTACCCTACAGTTCAACCTTTATTGCTCTGCCAGATAAGAGTTTGCCTGGATTATCATAGCCTCCCCATTGGTCTTGTTTATGAGTTGCTCCCTTCAGTTCATTCTCTACACAGGAGACAAACTATCTAAATTTCATATCTGAGCATGTCACAGCCTTAAACATTTATCTCCAACATGCCATTCTGTTTCAAGCTCCCATTCCTTTGCACATATTTTTACTATGGTACAATATTAAGATTATTTAATTTTCTTTATGCTTTGCCCCTCTAGATCATGAGCACCTTGAGGGCAGATGGGGTGTCATACATCTTTTATCTCCAACATATAGTATAGTAACCAACATGTAGTCTACTCATGATCATAATAACTAATACAGAGTGAATACTTAACTGTTGGATACAGAGTTATCTCATTGAACTCTCAAACAGTCCAGTGGGACAGACACTCTATCCTACTTTTTTAATTTTTACTTATTTTTTAAGTAAATTCTACATCCAACATGGGGCTTGAACTCATGATCCTGAGATAAGAGTTGCATGCTCTACTTTCCGTGCTGATAGCACTCCTGCAAACATGGTGAACATTCCTAAAACCTGCCAAACTTTCTGCAAGAAGTGTGGCAAGCACCAATCACAAAGTGACACAGCACGAGAAAGGTAAAGATTCTCTTTATGCCCAGGGAAAGCGGCTTTATATGACAGGAAGCAGAGTGGCTATGGTGGGCAGACTAAGCCAATTTTCCAGAAAAAGTCTAAAACTACAAAGAAGATTGTGCTGAGGCTTGAATGTGTTGAGCCCAACCGCAGATCTAAGAGAATGCTGGCTATTAGGAGATGAAAGCATTTTGAATTGGGAGGAGATAAGAAAAAGGGCCAAGTGATCCAGTTCTAAGCTTCATATTTTGTTATATTATGAAGACAATAAAATCTTGAGGTTATGTTAAAAAAAAAAAAGTTGCATGCTCTACTAAATAAGCCAGCCAAGTGCCCCCGTCCTACTTTAAAGAGGAAGAAAGAATGGTTTAGGGAAGGTGCCAAGAGTTATACAACTGATTGGTAGGGGAACAAGGATTCCAATCTAAATCTATCAAATTCTAGAGTCTAAACACTAAACATCACTCCACACCATTCAACAAATGTTTACTGAAATGAAAATTATGTTTATGTGGCCTACAGACAGATAACCTCATATATACTCAAATATCACTCAACATTAGTCTGTAAATCAAACCTAAAGACTTATTTAAGAAGTAAGTTTGAAGCTTTTTTTAAAGTAGGATTTGTAATTTTTTGTATATTCAGGAATTGACTTTCATAAACTTATATATTGCATACCTGGGATAGGATCCGTAGTTGGAAGTGTTTGGGCAAAAACTCTTAGGTTGCATATGTTGATCTCCTCGACACTGGTGTTTCTTCTGAAAATTTTGCCACCTTTTAGGCATACCTTGTCAAAAATATTCTGTAAACTTGAGCAAGGTGGTGATGAATTTATCCTGCAGACACACTTTTTCTGTTTAAATATCAAAAAACAAACAAAAAAAACAAGTTTAGCGGTGCCTGGCTGGCTCAGTTGGAAGAGCATGTGACTCTTGATCTCAGGGTCATGAGTTCAAGCCTCATGTTGTGTAGAGATCATTTAAAAAAATAGTAATTAAGGTCAGTAGGTTAAGCATCTGACTCCTGATTTTGGCTCAGGTCATGATGTGAGATAGAGCCCCATGTTGACTCCACACTCAGCAGGGAGTCTGCTTCTCTCCCTCTCCTCCCTCTCCCTCTGCACCTCCCTCTGCTCATTCTCTCTGTCTCTCAAATCTTTAAAAATAAATTTAAAAAACAAAAGTCTACAAAAAAACTAATAAATTTGGCAAAGTTGCAGGATACAAAACCAACATACAAAAATCAGTTGTATTTCTGTACACTAAAAAGGAAATTAAGAAAACAACTCCATTTATAACAGCAGCAAAAAGAATACTAAGAAACAAACTTAACCAAGGAGGCAAAAGACTTCTACACTGAGGGGCGCCTGGGTGGCTCAGTTGGTTAGGCTTCTGCCTTCAGCTTAGGTCCTGCTCTCAGGATCTTGGGATGGAGCCCCTCGTAGGGCTACCTGCTCAGTGGGGAGTCTGCTCCCTCTCCCTCTGCCCCCCCCCATCCCGGCTTGTGCTCTCTCAAGCTCTTGCTCTCAAATGAATAAATAAAATCTTCAAAAACAAAAAAAAAGAATAGGAGAAAATGTTTGCAATTCATATATCTGCTAAGGAATTAATGTCTACAACATATAAGTAACTACAACTCAATAACAAAAAACAACCTAATTCAAAAATGATCGAAAGACTTTAATAGATGTTTTTCCAAAGGAGATACACGAATAGCCAGTAAGTGCATGAGAAAATGTTCAACACTAATCATCAGGGAAATGCAATTAAAACTACAATAAGCTATCACTTCACACCTATTAGAATGGTTATTTTGGGGAGGGGGAAGTGTCAGGGTGCCACTTGGGTGGCTCGGTTGGTTAAGTGACTTCATTCAGTTCAAGGTCATGATCTCAGGGTTCTGGGATCCAGGCCTGTGTCAGGCTCCCCGCTCAGCAGAGAGTGCTTGTCCTTTTCCCTCTGACCCTCTACCTGCTCATGCTCTCTCTCTCTCAAACAAATAAAATCTTAAAAAAAAAAAAAAGGGTTGGCAAGGATGTGGGGAAATTAGAACCGTTGTGCATTGTTGGTGGGATTGTAAAATGATGCAGTCACTGAGGAAGACAGTACAGTGATTGCTCAAAAAATTAAACAGATATACCATATGATCCAACAATTCTACCCCTAGGTGTATACTCAAAAGCAGAGACTGAAACAAATGTTTTTACACCCATGTTCATTACAGCATTATTTGCAATAGCCAAAAAGTAGAAACAACCCAAATGTCTGACAACAGATGAAAGAATCAACAAAATGCAGGAGGCTCAGTCGTTAAGCGTCTGCCTTCAGCTCAGGTCGTGATCCCGGAGTCCTGGGATCGAGCCCCGCGTCCGGCTCCCTGCTCCGCGGGAAGCCCGCTTCTCCCTCTGCCACTCCCCCTGCTTGTGTTCCCTCTCTGGCTGTCTCTCTCTGTCAAATAAATAAATAAGATCTTAAAAAAAAAAAGGAATCAACAAAATG